TTATATGGATGATGTGAACGTCACCAACATCTTTATACGGATGATGTGAACGTCACCAACATCTTTATACGGATGATGTGAACGCCACCAACATCTTTATACGGATGATGTGAATGTCACCAACATCTTTATATGGAAGAAGTGAACGTCACCAACATCTTTATATGGATGACGTGAACATCACAACATCTTTATACACATGATGTGTACATCACCAATATCTTTATATGGATGACGTGAACATCACCAACATCTTTATATGGATGATGTGAACATCACCTACATATTTCTATGGATGATGTGAACATCACCAACATCTTTATATGGATGATGTGAACGTCACCAACATCTTTATACGAATGATGTGAACATCTTTAAAAAAGTGTGATGAAAGATCAGTGTAAATTGTAATTGAGTACAGAATGTATTGTCATCCTCCCATCAAAATGATGATGATGCCACCGAGTCTCCTAATCAAGTAATAAAAGATTTGAACTGGTCCTCTGTATCTTCAGATGGGTGTGCCAAGATTTTTGGTCTAATAATGAAATTACTAAATCTTGTAATAACTCAATGATATAGTTCTGATTCCTTAAACATGACTGCAATATTTCTAATCACTGGCCAACTTCAACACCCAACTACAGATACACATATACGTCCATTAACAGAGGTCACAAGGAGAGATTTTAACTGTTCTAAATATTGGATGCATAGAATAATTAACATTTTAGTTTGTTATCATCACACAAGTATTTGAAATCTATTCAAAAACTGATCAGGACATGTTTATGAAGAACTGACAGAAAGGTACACATTATGATGATCCCGAATACGTTTATGCATGTTGTTTTACAAGAATCACTATAAATGTACCTTTTCCTATTGTTAAAGGTTTCACGTGACTCACATCTTAAACAATGAACTGAATTAAAATTATTTGGTAAGAAAACTGATACGTAGATAACTTTATCCTCCCACTTAGATTCTTCACTATATATTCTATAGATAAATATTTCTTTTCCAGCTTTACATAAGCTTTAGATCCAAAATACATAACCCACAAGATATCTTAACTTAGAAACAATACTATATTCAAACTGTGCATGTCACATTTAGCTAAAATACAATATACAAACACTGTGGAAAAAGAATGCTACACCATGAATTCTAAATGTTTCATTTCTGTTACACTGATAAAGGTTATCTTTAAACTGTAAGATACAACGTTTGTGTCAACATAACTCTTGAATCCTTTGAAATAATTTCATTCTCTCAATCTTTATTTTTTAAATGAGGATATAGTCACACAATTTACCTCAATACTATGAAGTTTTGAGTACTGATCATGCTTTATTGTCAAAAGCAGGAAAAATTTAAAGTGCTGAAAATGAATTATCTATCTATGGATATAAGGAAACATGTAAGTTCAAAAAATCCTATGACCCATGCGCTATCGACATTTCATCATCAGGGGATTGAAAAGCCCTTATCTTTAGATAATTTGACTTAGAAATAAATTTATACTTCTTAATTCACCAACATGAAACTGGGTAAAATATTTAGGGAATACTTGCCATTTGAGAAACTGTCAATGGTGAATGCTGAGGTAAGTTTTGGCTAAAATGTTTGTTTGGTAAGATAGCATGTGATCCTCGTCCTCCAGAATAAGCCCCAAAATTTGATTGCACACTTCGACCTATAGGTGGAGCTACTTTTCCTGGCAGTGGCTGAGATGAAGACAACATATTTTCCTTCACAGTCTGACTCTGCCTTAGTTTTTTTAGTAAAATAAGCTTCATCTCTTCATTTCTCAATTCTTCACGAAGTTTACGTATTTTTAATTCCTTCTCTTGCAACTCGTCCTCACTGAGCTCTTTCAACTTTGGTAATGGAGGAAGTTCCATCCTCTGAATCAGAAGATTCTGGCTGAGAATCTGACTGTTCAACTTTTTGTCCATTTTGAGCCTGGTCAGCCTGGTTATTCTGATCATAAGATTCACGAAATCGAGCAGATCGGAATGGTTGAGATCTAACAAACTGTATCTTTTCTCTGTCTTTACAATCACTGTTACTAAAAGATTGTAAATTATCATCACTGACACATATTTCCTGATTTTCACTATTTTTTTTCTTCTTCATGCGTAAATCAATAGTCTCAAAAAATTCATTTTCATCTCTGTATTTTCTTTTTCTGCAGTAAACAAAAAGAAAGAACATTCATTAAAAAAAGCATGATATATACAAGATGTATAACACGAAAATAAGCAAATGAACAAAATTACTTTGAGTACTGGTTTAGGGAAGTCTTAGACGAGTACTATATCATTTTGGCCTCTTTGTATTTCTTTCAAAAAACAAAACAAACGACAGATAAAAATGCTAACTTTTTACGCACATAAAAAGTGTTTAATTCAATTGTATAATAAATATAGTAAACGTAATTAATGAATGCAGGTTAAACTCACTTCACTGACAAATCTGCAACCACTGAACCTTCCAAGTTGTCCTCATCGTCTCGCCCACCTCTGAAGGTCCTTCTCGACATTCTTACTTGGCACTGAAACGAAAGCCACTATGTCACATTTCAGAACATAATAATACTGCATGCTTTGTTTCTTATAAGAACATACAAAAAACAAACAAGGTAATTAAAAGTCATTCTGCTTATCAAGGTCACTCTTCGTCCACAAAAGTTCAGCAGGAATAACAATCAAACTTATATATAACCCTTCAGATCAATCCGTCGTTTCAAAACTTTTTATAATAATTAAAACTACCAGTCCTAATAAAAAATAAAGTGATAAATAATATGTATGTATCTAGACACCCCAAGTTGAAACCTATTACTCATAACATTCAAATTTATAATTTTAAACTACGCCTCCTATCAGAATGTTCTTTGATTAATACATTTTATAAAATATGGAGGGGGGGGGCTAAAGCATATGCTAGGTTTGGTAAGCCAATCAAGCAGTTCGCCAATTATAAGCAGAAACACACACACATAGCCTTTTGTAAAATAATGGTATAGATATATAAAAAAAGGCCAGTCCCGTCATTCAAAACTTTGTAAAAACTACATTTCTGTCAGTTTTCATGTATTAATAGCTAGCTAAATGTAGCAGTCTTACTGGCAACGTTATTACATAGTTGAAGAGTCAGATCAGATTCAAAACTTTGTAAAAACTACATTTCTGTAAGTTTTCATGTATTAATAGCTAGCTAAATAGTAGTAGTCTTACTGGCAACGTTATTACATAGTTGAAGAGTCAGATCAGAAAAGAACTGGCAATTATTTTTGATCTGATGCGTATACCTTTATATATATATTTGTTGTAATAATATCACATTAAAAAAAAAATCACCTAAACTGATAAATACTAAAGATAACATACTCTGTGGTTTGAAGCGATCACACGTATCAAACAATATCACTAACCAGCTTGACTGTTCAGGTATGTTAACAACTACATAGCAATACTGAAGTCAATGGGTATTCTAAGAGGTCTTTAATCAAATGTTCACTTAAATATATCTTTTAAGTCTAGTAACACATAACACACTAAAAATCCATTACCTAATAACCTTAACAGTGAAATGGAAGGATCTTGGTGTTGATCAGTCTCTTAAACCATCCAAACAATGTGTTGTTGAAATGTTTAATACAAGTCTAAAGCTTTCATGGCACAGGCCATCGGTTAGACCCCCGGGAGTAGTGTGTTCAGTCTTTAGGAAAGACACTGAACTTTTGGATAGGATTCACATGAGGGCTACTGGAGTGATACCTGGGATGGAAGGGTTGTAATACAAGTTCAGGTTATGATCTCTAAAACTGTCTTGAGAAAAGAAGTTAAGAGAGGATCTGACAAAGGTGTTTAATATTCTTAAAGGAATTGACAGTGGTGATGCATTATCATTTTTTTCATCTTCAGCTAAAACAGTTTGATTTTTCTAACAGTGGTTGACCATTGGAATGGGTTGCCTTCAGATGTGATATTTGCAGTAAATTTAAGGGAATGCTTGCTGAATACTTAAATGATAAGGACTGACTTTTTTTTATAATTTTGTAGATGGAACAGCCTATATGGACCAAAATGTCTTTAAATCTTATATCACATTGGAATGTTTCAGTACTTTTTTTTTTAATTCTGAATATATTTAGCTCCTTGCAATATCTGGAATCTGAATTGCCCACCAGTGTGACAAAATTTGTACTAGTTTCCAGGCTACAAGGGAGTAAAACCTAAAACCCTATCCAAAACACAGCAGTGGTGGTCCCAAGTATTGTGCAATACAAGATCTGGTTTCTCAGCAATAAAAAGCCATTTTCTTCACAGCTTTCAAGAGTTCTATTGATAGAGATGTCCAGGGAAAGCTCAACAAAGCTTACATTCAATGGTAAGGTAGCTAAGTGAACACAAACACTTCTACTATTTTGTGACAGACAAGTGCAGTTCATCTAACCCCCTAAACTCCACTTGTTCATGGCCGCAAGTTTATGAGGGGTCAGTTATTCTGGCAGTAAAGTATGGTTTTTGAGGTTAACAGATTGATTCATTAATCAGCATACTTTTTTAGTTCTAGCTTGAATAACAGGGAATGCAACACCCCTCTGTAGCACCCATTCCCCTGAACTTGGTCTGATTGATTCACAGTTGGGTTGTTACATAAAACTCTGTTTTGAATTAAATATTAAGCTTAATTTGCCTGATATTACAGTGTTTACTACTATGTTATGTTAGAAAAACATAGTTGATATTTAAATGGTAAATCTGTACACATTTATTTTTTTACTTTCCTTCAAAGTAGGAGACTTAATGTCGTTGTTCAACATTAGTACAGAGTAGGTTCAAATATTTTGATCTTTTGTTTATTTGTTTGTTATTAAGCACAAAGCTATACAAAGGGCTATCTGTATTCTGCCCACCACGGGTATCGAAATCCAGTTTCTAGCAGTATAAGTCCAAATAATATTTAGGTCTATCCACTCACTCTGAAAATCAAACAAATGATAGCACTAGTAATTGATTTATTTTGCTTAAATATAATTATAACTGTGGTGTATAGTTTTAGGCCTAACATAAATATGACTTTCAAATGCAGATGGTCAGCTAGAGAAGGACCGTAAGGTTCGTATGCTGAGGGGGACCCCCCCCCCCCTGGTGGTGTGTAAGCATTAAAATAATAAACTGGTTTAACTAAGACAAAAGGACATCTGGTTATGACGAAATGAGTTACGAAACGAAGTGGGGGCAAAATTCACTCTAGCACCCCTAAATGGCCCAAGCGTATGGATGGCCATTTTGAAATAAAATAGACAGCAGATAGAAAAAACAAAAAACATTTTTACCATAAAAACAACTTTTTAAGACATTTCTTTTATTTTATTTTCTATAAGCAATTTAAGTTTCCTCCAAAAATAATCTTTTCAAACCAAGATACTGAGAACATTTTAAAATAACAACAAACTGGTTCAGACTTTTACATACATATGGTTATATCCTATAAAAATATACGAGAGAGTACAAGTTGACATTCAAATATGTCACATGATTGGTCAATGGACTGCTTGTTTTGTGACTGATCATATAATCTGAAACCTATATTAAATACTGTAAGTACCCATGTATTAGCCTGAAACTTGTATTAAATATTGTAAATACCCATGTATTAGCCTGAAACCTGTATTAAATACTGTAAATACCCATGTATTAGCCTGGAGCCTGTATTAAATACCGTAAATACCTATGTATTAGCCTGAAACCTGTATTAAATACCGTAAATACCTATTAAATAC